ATTATGGGAGAAACTCCTAATAGGAAATTGAAGAGCTATGGTGCATAGAGATAAGTGGCGTCCAGATGGCTCAAGGAGGCTCAGTCAGCAAAGTTATAAAGAACTAAAGGGAGCTTTTAGAGGAAAGGGAGAAAGGAAAATAGTTTTGGGATGAGGTTCAGTGAGTAAGCAGAGGAGTTGACTGAGGAATTGGAGATCTTGATTCACATAGCTAGTGTGAGATGAGCCAAAAGACCCAAACCCTGATGTGAACATAGAGCCCATGACAAAGAATAGTGAGGGGTAAAAGGGCAAAAGTATGGGTCTGTGATATGAGGTGCATTGGCTGAAAAGTAAGAGTATAGGTAAGCCCAGGACTAAGGAAGTTTATTTTTTTAACAGAGGACTCTTTTCATCTTTTAAACTTTGGGAATATGCAGCCAATACTGTAACCCTTGAAGAGGATGATGGTACAAACAGTTCATTGTTTTGACACTATACATTTGATAACTCTGGTGGCAGACATCATGGTTTTCTGTTTTCTAGCTCCAGCAAGATTTTAGTCAAAATTTTCTTAAATGCTACTATAATGTACTTAAATGCTGAGAGTTTGTACTTCCCAAATTATATATACTTTTAATTCATTTCATCACATGAGATATGGTTCTTTGCAGTAGAAAACAACCTCAGGTACCCATGCTAGGTTTATAGACCCCTCAGATAATTACACATCGGTACAGTTGGACTCTGAACAGGTATGTCTCCCTTGAGTTCATTAACTTTTTAAAGCTCCTCTATAGTTGTGTGCTCTTCATATTAACTCAAATGTCCTGTATTTCCCTGTTTTCGCTTTTTTTTTTTTTTTTTTTTTTTTTGCTACTATGACTAAAAGATCTAACCAGAAGAAATGTAGAGGAGGAAAAGTTTATTTGAGGGCTCAGGGTTTCAGAAGTCTTAGTCCATAGAAGGCCAGCTCCATTTCTCAGGGCTCAAGGTGAGGCAGAACATCATAGAAGAAGAGTGTGGCAGAGGGAAGCGGCTCAAATAATGATTAGAAGCAGAGAGAGACACTCCACTCTTCAGATACAAAATATATACCCATGAACCACTTTCTCCAGCCACACCCACCTACTGACAGTTAATCACTCAGTTATTCCCCTCAGGGGGGGTTAATTCACTGATTAGCTTAAGGTTCTAACCCTATCATTTCTCCTCTAAATCTTCTTGCATAGTCTCACATGTGAGCTTTTGGGGGACATCACATCTAAAATATAACATTCCCAACCCAGTATAAATAGAGTAAAACAGAATTGCACAAAAGATAGAAATTATACAGCTATGATTTTTGTACAGCCTTGCTGTGGGGTTCTGTTGTGAGCAAGACAAATCTTCAACCAATTTTCCTAGAACTTCTGAGAGCATTAGCCAAGGCTGACATGCCTTCTGTAGGTAGCCTGTATATTGGGCCTGGGTCATCTCACTGTCTTCTTGATGGGTCTTTATAAATGCAAACCTCAGAGAAAATTACCTCTCAAGTGCCCTAGAGCATCTACTAATAACAGTGACACTTGTAAAGCCAGGAGAACTGTCACTTAGCACAAGTCTTTAACTTCTGCTTCCTTGGAGTTGATTGATAGTCTACAAGACTGACAGCTCTTGCTAAACTTAGATACAAATGACTCCTTGAATCTACTACAGCCATGTTGCAAATCAGAACAGAAGATAGAAAATGAACACATCTGTTGATAATGTAGCTATAGGACAGCCACCAATTCCAAGACCCCCCAAGGTCTATCCTGTTTTTCTAACCATAAACAGAGAACTGCTCTTGGCATATATGTGCTTAGTGTTTATCCATGGTCATTGCTTTGACTGAGGTTGTTCCTTTCTGACAGTTTCAAAATAACCAGGTGAGTCATTGCCACACTTAACCACAGTTAGTGTAGACATATACTTCCTGAACACTCTATGCTAGTGTCTCCTTTCAGTCTCTGCAGGGTTTCTTCAGCCCTCTAGGAGAGTTTGCATAAAGTACTGCCTGCACATAGACTGTTAGCTGTAAATCTCTATTACATTAATCTTGGAATTTATGGTACTCAAAGTACTCTAGTGACTAAAAGAGTAAGAAAGAAAATGTCATCATAAATGCTCATCATCTGATTAAGTAGTAGAGCCTAAAGCTTCAGATCAAACCCATTCGGAGCAACAACTTTGTGGATATGACATTTTATGGCAAGAAAGAAACATATGAAAATATGGAAGTCACTTTTGTGGGTTTATTAATCTTTTGGGTATCTGAGTAACATTGTTCAAACTTTTCTATTGGCTCTTGGCTCTTTTGAGAGGGTTGTGCTCTTGCCATTGTTTTTAGAGGGAGCAGCTTCACTGAGCCACCCATATTTTCTCACCCCCCCCAAGGGTAAACTCAACAGCAAGATCAAAATTCTAGATGAGGAACGTAGTCTGTGTTTATGAAAAACAGCTATCCTCCACAAATATGTGGGCGGATAACAAGTCTGTTAAGAATCATACCCATGTCTCACGCAATTCTTTAAAAATTGTCACCATCTTATTGTTTATACTCTTCTCATCCACCGTTAATTTTCTGTAGCATGAAACCCCTTCCATGCTGTTTATTCTGCTGCTGTTTTTTCCTTACCGTATTCCAGATCCCCTTTGAAAGCTCTCTGCTTTTGATATCCCTTGACTACTGCTCTCCCCACAAAGACAGGATTCATTTTGAGTACAGTTGTGTTCTGGAATGTTCAGGCATAATCTCCTGATTTGAGAGAATGCATGAAGATAGATGCAAGGAATACAGTGACTTATCTCCTTCTCTCAGCTACACAGTAGGGCTGTATCTAAAGGCAAAGAGCTTATTTCCTCCCCTCCTGTCCTAAACACAGTACTGGCTCATAAGTACTAAGTACAAGTTCTGTTGATTTTTTTTCCAATTTTAGTAGGGTGAGTAGACCATGAAAGAATGATCATTGATATTTTCTTGGGCTCATAATTTTTAAAAATTACTAAAAGCAAGATTTTAGGTTGAGAATCTGTCTTTATGTTAAGATAGCAGAGTAAATGAGAGGTGACTTGAGCACAATGCTGATGTTAGCTATTAACCCTGCCACTTAACTGGTGGTCAGACCTTGAGTCAACTTATAATTTCCAGCTCTCGTTTTCTTTATCTGTGAATCATAAATAATGATGATGGTGCATTCCTCATGGTGTCATTGTAGGGATTTTGTGAGTTTATCCATATAAAACTGTGCATACAATTAGCACTATATAAATGTTGGCTATTATTATTAGATTGATTMTTTTGTTCTATTCAAGAGACTTTATTATTAATTGTTCTTCTATATTTGAGAGCCCTAACTATTAAGACTTTCACTTTTTACTGGAAAGAATGTATGTGAAGCTAAGTTTACCTACCCCATCACTGTTCTTTGGTCTGATGGGCCTTATCATCAACACACAGTCACTGAATGCCTGCTGTACATAGACTCCTAAACTACCTGCCAATGCTCTTACCTATGGTGTCTAAAATTCTTCATTGCCTCATCAAATATTTTCAGAAGGATCAATATGTATGGAACTGCATGTCTTCTGAATTTTGAAAATGAATTATTAACTTGCATTTTCTTGGCTATAAACTATGCATCAACCCCCTACTCAATTATTGCTTTCCTCATTATTTCATCTAACTGACCTAGAATACTTTACACAAAGCTGACTGATGGAAAAATAACATGAAAAATATAATGTCATGAGAACTGTTTTCTGACATTAGCTCTGTTTTTATTTCTGCAAGGTAACAGCATCGTTTGTCTTTCCAGTCATATTCAGTTCCATTACTCTTGAGGCCCATTATTTTCTCAAGAGTTATTCCAACCTGCTTTTGAACATCCATCACCACATCCTTGTGTCCTTTATGTTTAGTGGCACAATACAAAGGTTTCATATTTTCAGTCACAAGCCATTCATAAGAAGCACCTAGTATAAGTGTTTGTCAGCATTAATTTTTTTCTATATACCTAAGGCATTTACTGCATCAAGGAATATAGCTAGCAATTGTTCCTTAAATTTTTTCTTCACTTTCAAAGCTTTCATTCCCTTTAAAAAAATAATCCTTGTATAATGCTATTGTTGGATTTGTTCAATCCTCCTCTTTCTGTGTCTTATCTCCCAAAGTACTTTGCCTCTATAATATTTTCTCTCTTCTTAGTATTTGAAGTCTAGATGAAATATGCAACCTCTCTTCGGAGACAGCTGAATCTATCTGGCTTAGACTACTTGATCTAAAATAATGCTAAGCTTTATATTTTCTTATGGTCCTCACCCCAAAATGTAATCTCTGGAAAACTCTTCTCTCCCTCCCTTCCTAGAAGATTTAGGGATGGACAGATGTCTTCACTTCTTTCTTCTCCATCCCAGGCTCTCAGTACAATGCTTAGGAAATATTTCCAGGGCAACTAAAAACTACCAGTGTTTAAATGTGTGAAGTCTGAGATTTTATAGAAGACATCTTTTTCTGGCCCAGAAGTCCATGTGCAGCTCATTTTCATACAACTGACTCAAAAGAGTAAATCAATAGAAAAATATTTCTCCCATATTTTCTAAGTTAATAACATGTGGAGGCCCACATTTCTATAATAAACTGACCAAAGCCCTTGGAGAAGAATAAAATATAAACTGAAGCTACAGCTTCTTCCCTGGAAGATTCTTATAGGTATAATTCCTTTTAATAAAGAACATGCTGAAAGTTGACCTTCTGGTAAAATGTTACATGTTCCCACTTAGGTCCTCTCTTTGGATTCATATAAGACTTAGAAAAATCTTTAGGAACCTGATGACCAGTTAGTGTCTCTATAATTTTCTTGTTAATAGAATATTGGACTAAACAGAGTCTTCCTTTTTCTTAACTACATAATTTCAAAGATTCTTAGAAGTATGTTACTTAAATGCACATTGTCTTGGTAAATGCTTATGTATTTATCTTTGATTTGTTTCTAATACAGGGACCTCCTGGATTACAAGGAATACAACAGACTCTTGGTGGATATTTTAACAAGGTATGACTTCTCTTTTCCCACAATTTGTGTACACTGAGAGTTTATGGTGTTACATGTATTTAAACATCTTTCAATGCTAAAAACTGTTTGCAAAAATTATATATATATATATATATATATAATATTACTTTACTCCATATATTATCATAAGCTCCGAGTTTTACTTCTATAAATTAGAGATTAATTCAAAGTTCAGTTGTTCAGACATTGATAATGTCCTTTGTCTAGTTTCTCTAAGGGCAGAAAGCAATTATTTGCTGCCCAGAAGCTCTGGGTATCACAGCAGGTGTTGGATTTCTTATCAAAACTGGTAGGTGCTGCACAAATCTCAAGCAAATGTTCACACACCATAGGTCAGCAGCAGGAGCCTCCTCCTGTGAGTAGGAGTAGCTTTAAACTTCCCCAAGTTCTTTCCATCACAACTGGGATAAATGGAATGACCATGTGGAGGTCTCTGAGTACAAAAGGCAAGCCCACTGTACTCCTGATTCTGCAAGGAAGCAGCAGGGAGAGAACAAGGGTTAGTAACCATGTCTGAGACAGAAGTCTAAATGAAATCCTCAATGGATTCATCACTCAATAATGAGTATTTGTGATCTGATCACTTTGTGTGATGCATTATGTCCACTGAGTAGGGCCCTTTTTATTCACAATGGCTCATCACTGATATTATTTCTCAAAGAAAAATGAGGGGAACTGGGTGTGATGGAGCATGCCTATAATCCCAGCAGCTGAGGAAGCCAAGGCAGGAGAATTGAGTTCAAAGCCAGCCTCAGCAAAGAAGAAGTGCTAAGTAACTCAATGAGACCCTGTCTCTAAATAAAATACAAAATAGGGCCAGGGATGTGGCTCAGTGGTCAAGCACCCCTGAATTCAATTCCCCATCCCAAAAGAAAAAAGAAAAAGAAAAAGGTGGGGACAGTCACTCTTGTGTCTTCTTTCCCTGTTTTCTGGCTTTTTCCTCCTATAAATTCCTCTAAGTACTGTTGCACCTCTCTATTTACAAATCCCAAAGACACTGTGTTCCAGATCAGGCCTTGAAAATAGCTAGTGCTCAAAAAAAAAAAAAAAAAGTTAATGAACTAATTAAATCCTACTTCTTCATTCATCAAATTAGGTTAGTATAAGGACCTAGACAATTTGTGGTTGACAAATTTAAAATTAAATGTGTAGACAATTTGTTGTGTTTTATAAATTTTAGATGGTTATCCTGTCTCATATTTTCTCATTTATTTAGATTTTATTAGAAAGAGTGCTTAGGATATATTTTATGATCCTTTATTAAACATTTTTAAATAAGTCTATACTAGCCTTTTCAAAACATTAGGGCTTGGCACAAGTGAAAAAGTAAGCTAAAAGATATTTCATCTAAATTTAATCAATGTAATGACTCCTACAGTTATAAAATAGGGCTTATACATGCTTCAAAATAATGAGAATAAGTTGGCTCTCATGTAACAATGTCAGCTAGAAAAACTTAAAACATATACTGTATTACTTTCACCCTTGGTGTAAAATTTTACCAAATTGCTACTCAGCTACTTAAATATTTGCTAACACTTGCAAAACTTTTAAAGCTCATATCTTTACAGGTCTCCCAATACTACTTTAGTATATACTTTATCTTACCAATGAGTCAGTTTTTCCTTAAATGAAAATATATGGAGCCTTTATATTTTAGAGTCTAAAGTTGAGAATGTAAATTTTTAAACTTTAAGGTAGTATTACAAAAAATGTGAGCTGACTGAAGCAGCTGAGTGGGGAATCTTGTTAGTTACAAGCCAGTACTTGGAACTTGGCTATTGTATCACTTAAAAGAACTCTAGCTATCATTATCGCCATTACAGTACTGAGGCTCACAGTGTTTAGTCCACATGTGTCCTGAATGTGACTTTAGAGCTCAAAGATAACTGAATAAAGAGGAGGGACCAAAGCCTTTTTTTTTTCCTGCCAAATTCTGAAATTTACAAAAATGCATCAGAAAGTTTTCAACATTGGGAATTAACAGGAGGTAGCTTGACAAACCTTTCATTCTGCTTCCTTCTGAGAGCACTTAGAGCTCTATACTGAGGTCCCACAAGGACAGAGGAGATGCCTCCCCCTTCCCAATCCCACACCCAGTCCCCACACTGACTGGTGTATCTGCACTGTAACCACCTCCTCCTCACGCGGAGCTTCATAAAAAAAGGGGTGAACTGTGCTGCAGTGAGCGAGATGCATGTTTTCACTTGGTGACATCCCCAGCGCCCATATCCATCTGTTTTGGGACACTGAAGTTGTTTCATTCTGTAATTTGTTGCATGCCTGATGGCCTGGCTATAATAAATGATCACAGCAAGAAGAGGGGCCTGAGTAAAACTTTTCTGGAGATTAAATAATGGACCGTGTATTGAGACATATAAAGTGACACTCCAAGGTTAAAATAATCTTCCCTTTTAAATTGGCATTGATTAATGTGATGTCTGCACTTGAGCCCTGGCCCTCAGTTCCTTAGCTGGCAGCAGCTCCAACAGTCAAGCAGCCCAGATTTTGCTGAAGCAGCTCCCTCAGGGAACATGAATAGCAGAGTACTCATACACATTCCCTCCCTGTTCTAAATTAAAAGATCCATTGTTTGTCTCTGGTCCCTGGAACCCTCTCTTGCCCTTTGTTCCTAGTACAGGAATTGATCTTTTCACCTACAAATTCCCTGTGTCACCTAGAAGGGGAAGTTTAGGCATTAGAAACCCTCTCCCTTCATAATATGAGTCAACAAGGGAAGGAAACAAGGGCAGTGAGGAATAGAGGGATAGAGACTTAGGAGTGAGGTCAGGAAGATTATATGTGTGTTCATGTGTATTTTTGCATGCTCATTTGGAAATGCAATGAATAAAATGTAGAAGATTTCCCTATCTCAAAAATAATTTGCAAAACAGCTGCTCCCATTCTGCAAGATTGTTTGCCAAAACACAACAATGCTGAGCATGTTCTTCCCCTTAAGGAAAATCTGCTCATGATCCAGCAAACTGCTCTTCCAGCTCTGGGGATTTTAATAAAAATTTGATAGGCTCTGTCAACTTCTAAAGCCATCAGCTCCCTACATAGAGGGAAAAAAAAGATAGTGTCATCTATGACAGCCAAGTACTGGTGGATTTTACATTTGATATTGTTTTTTAGAGATCCGCATTGAAAATGCATAGTTGTGTAGCCTTACATTACCACACTTGGTCTCAGCTGTTGGAGATTGATGCCATGCCTCCCAGCAACCAATTCTGGTGTTCACTTCTCCAAATTGTTGATCCAAAAAAACCCCATTTTCTAGCAAAATAGTCTATTTTTCCTTTCATATATCAAATCATAACTTTATTTTAATATTCACAGTCCAGAAAGGACAAAAACCTTTATCCAAAATCAAATATTCAGGGTCTTTCCAAGCAGCAAGGTAAGCCCAACAAGAACACATAAAACGAAGGCTTGATTAGAAACACTGCAGGCAATACTTCTGGTCCCAGAAGAGTTAAACATACACTAAGTCCTAACTTCCTCCCTCTCCCTTTGTTGCCCAGGAGCCACTGTCTTTGGGGAGCATCAAGAGCTTGGGCAGAGACTAGGTGCTTTCAGATCTTGGTTTGATTAAACAGAGCCCCAAAACTTACCTGGGTCCTCTCCTTCCCTTTCACAACTGATACAATGTTTTCTTGCAAGTAACTCAGAGGTTGAACTTTGGGCCACCCTTTGGTTTCATTTTAAGTTAGTACAATGTTCATAGGCCATATTTTATGGTTTAACTTGCTGGGGTTGCCACAACAAAATGTCTCAAACTGAGTATCCTGAACAGCAGAAATGCATTGTCTCATAGTTCTGGAGGCCATGAGTCCAAGATGAAGGTCCTGGTAGGGCTGTGCTGTTTCTGAAGGCACCAGGGAGGGGTAAGTTCCAGACTTATCTGTCTCCTAGCTTCTGGTAGTTCTTTGGCCATCTTCATGTGGCATTCTCCCTGTGTGCACATGTCTCTGTGTYGAAATTTCCCTTTTTATAAGGATGTAATCATATGGGAATTGGAATCCTCCCTACTCTCATTATAGGCTCATCTTAACTAGTTAGATTTGCCATCATACCATTGCCAAAAACAGTTAACATTCCGAAATGTTGGGATTGGGACTTAAACATTTGAATGGAGCTAGGGGTCATCCAGTTCAACCCAAAACAGATAACTTCTTGGTGTATTTTGTTTGTTTGTTTTTAACCTTATGTCTCTTCATGCCAGAGATATTACAGCAAATTCCCCAAGGGCTTAGCTGGGTTATTTTTAATGACCCCATGTTGTGGAAGGGAAGACATGTCATTGGTTTCTTTCACTAGTGGAGCCATAGAAAATTGATATTTCAGTTTTGAGGACCTACAAAAATAGCTGTCTCTTATACTTCAACAAGTACATGTCTGGGCACATTCTCTCTTTTCCAAAGAATACACTCTTCAACACAGAGTAGTTCAAGTCCTTCCACTTGCTTGACCATAAGTTTCAAAGTTCTATTCACCATTTCCCCAAAGAGAACAAAAGACAGTGCTGATGTCCCATAATTCTTGAGATGACCAGGCAGATTCCCACCCTCACACCATGATCTCTCATCACTTTGTATCAAGAACTTTTAATAAACACATTCAAAACTGTGCAACTATTTATTTTGAAGGCTCACAAGAATTTTGATAATGGCAACAAGGCCTAAAATAATCAAAATAGTATCCGAAATAGAACTGTAGTTCCAAAGACACAAAGGCTGTCTAATATTCTGTAAAGCCTGGTTATTTTCTGGTGCCATTGGCTTAGAGAAGGTGGAGAAAATAATCACATGTGTCAATGAGCTAATGGTACTGAAGCTCAAGTTTTAATCTCCCTCATTTGTTAATTCAGGAGTGGAGAGTAGCACCAGAGGCCCCTGAGGACTTTTGATTGGTTGGATTTCCTGGCCTAACTATTGAGTAAAGCAACTATAGTGTACTCTAATACACAATAGATGGCC